TTCATTTACCATTTATATTTTGCCGAAAACCTTTAAACATTTTCCAAGGCTTGGAAAACTGGCAAAGAGTTACCTGTGCACTCTAGGACCATCTGTGCCCTGTGGAACCTCTGTTTTCCCATGCTGGTTAATCATCTGTGCACAAGGCATGTTAAAAAGGGAGTTTGTCTAAAAAAAGAAAAATCAGTAGCTGAGCTGATAATATATAAGAATATGTATGTGGGTTAAATAGATTGTGAACCTGTTAATATCTAAACATCTACATGATAAAAATGCCAATAATTTAAATGGTGGGTTTATGAAATAAAATTTACATCTCTAGTGTTTATCATCACAGAAGAAGATGATGATGTTTTAAGCTATGCATATTTGGGTAACATGCTGGTGATGAAGACCCTTTTGTCAAAACACATTTGATTTTAGAATTTTAAAATGTCTCTTATGTATTATATATTTAAATTGGTGAGACTGTAAATCTGAATATTCTGCTTTTGAGATGATTTTCAGTTTACAACCAGGTGGTTATTATATTCAGTTGATTGTTTACAATCTACTTCCTCAACTCTCATTTCATTTTTTTGTTTGATAGATTGAAATCAGTTGCCCATCTTATTAATATAACTTTGGAACAGGAAGAAAATGGAGGTAGAAGTGGACATATTTGTCATGGATGATGTTGGAATAAATAGTCCTATTTAAGGGTTGCAAATGGCATTAAACACTGTTTATATTTTAATTTTAAACTTTTTTGTTTAGATTTAAACCTATGTCTTAGTCTGTGTCCGGCCATGAAATAAAGTGAATAAGTTGATTCCAGATGAGATCAAAATAAAGCTGCTTTGAAGAGAAGGCACAGTCATTGGTGGATGCCACCCTTGTCTGGTCGCTGAGCTTGTGGTAGTAGCTGTTTACTGACTCTGTTTGGTGAGAAGTCCGGGGGGGGGGGGGGGACAGGAAGCACCGTGCTGTGGGTCTGGGGCCCTAGCGGCTAGGCTGACAAGCCCTGTTTTGCTGTCAGCATGAAGGCTGGATGAGTCTGTGCTGTATGTTGTCTGGAAGCTCCATCTGGCCAAAATACAGCAGCTGGTCTCCTGACAGGGATAGGTTACTGGAAGTGCATGGTCTGCCATTTGTTAGTAGATCCTTATTGCTTTCTGGTTCCTCTTAAATACCCTGATTTTGCTTCTACCTAACAAGTCTTTGGACCCAACATACCACTCTTATGTTGTACTGAAATCTCAGATTTGACTGGAATGACCTTCTTTGTGATCTACTTGTTAGATTTGTACAGGGAAGGCGATGTTGGAGAATTCTGGATAGCTGCTGCATTGTTGTCTCTTCCTCTGCAGAATGGTAAAGCCCCAATGTTTCTCTTTCAGAACCACACAAGACCTCTTATTTACTGGTTGGAACTAAGCTGATTGAGGGCACTCTTGTTAATAATTGCCATTGATATCTGGTATTAACTTGCTTTTTATTGATTTGATACACTATTGCAGACATTTTAAAGTAAATAACTTCCAGTTTAAAACCCCAATAAGGAAGTGTATTTG